TTTTCATCGCACCCGAATTTCGTACACGAAATTCGCACCCGAAGTTCGCATCGGCTTTTCGGGCATATGGAATGTCAGCTTAAAACTCCGTACTGAACGAACCCGAACTGCTGATGAACAGCAGTCGATCTGCGCACGCAAGGAGGTGCTATTCCTATTCTTCCTCTGGGAAAACGAAAGAGAGCTTCAAAACAGACTGCAGCGCCATCTGAAGCAAAAAGCATACTTCCTGCTGACACTTTTTTGGCTGAGTGGCCCATCTTGTTATTTACTATCTTTGATTGGCCTATTTGTAGTTATAGGCTATTTGATGGTTAATTTTTTTTTCTTTACCAACACACGTACCAGGAACGCAAAATCAACACATTAACCTGAGAATGCAAATTTTTTTTTTTTTTGCATAATAAACTCTTAACCTGTGAAGGATTATCCTTCTCAAAATGTACCCACGCAATACGAGATCTAGCCTTTCTTGATGCCATGTTGATTTATATTTATAAGCGAAGAGTGCGAAGAGCGCGTTTCTTTTTTGAACCGGATGTTTCGATTTCACTTGAAAACAACAATAGTATCATCCCTTGGATCAGTGAATTCTTCTTCTTCTTCTTCTTCTTCTTCTTCTTCTTCTTCTTCTTCTTCTTCTTCTTCTTCTTCTTCTTCTTCTTCTTCTTCTTCTTCTTCTTCTTCTTCTTCTTCTTCTTCTGCTTTTTCTTCTTCTTCTTCTTCTTCTTCTTCTTCTTCTTCTTCTTCTTCTTCTTCTTCTATCCCGTGGTTGGGGCAACGGTGGGGGCACCACTGCATCAGAAAACCAACTCTCGCTATCTATTTTTGTCCTTTGCTTTCCTCAGATTGTCACCCATTGTCTTTCCTGTCCACTCTGTAATGTCCTCCCATCTCCTTCTCTGCCTTCCTCTCTTTCTCTTTCCTTGTACGGTTCCTTGCAGGGTTGTTTTGGCAAGTCCTGTGAATCTTGCGACATGCCCATACCATTTTAATTTTCGTCTCTTCACTGTGGGCAGTAGATCTCCATATTGCCCCCACTGCGTTTGTGATTCTCTTTCGTAACTCAGCATTTGAAACGTGGTCTTTGTACGAAATGTCAAGGAGACTGCGGTAACATCTCATCTCTGTAGTCTGAATCTTTTTCTCTAATTCTGCTGTTAGTGTCCACGACTCGCAGGCGTATAAAAATATTGAGATGACTATAATGAGCGCATTCGTCTAATTTTTTAGTTGTGCGTGATGTTTCTGTCCCTCCAAATAAGCTTCAGTTTTGACAGCGCTGCTGTTGTTGGCGCGATTCTGGAGAGAATTTCTGGTCTTGAGCCTTCATTTGAGACGATTGATCCAAGGTATTTGAAGCTGTTGGCGGTCTCAAGTTTCTCGCCCCTGACTTTGATGTCCACGTTCATGCCATTGGTGTTATTGGTCATTAGCTTGGTAATTTTCTCGGCACTGATCTCCATGTTGTAGGCTGCTGAGGTTGCGTCCAGCCGCTCCACTAGTGTGGCGAGCTCCTGTTCTTCTCCTGCTAATCCATCGATGTCATCGGCAAAACGCAAGTTAGTGATTGTCATGTCTCCAATACATGTACTGATTGATCAGTTAATTGCCTAGGAATAATTAGTCCCTATGTATCGATCCTTTTCGAAAGTGTTGATTCAATACCGATACCAAGAAGGTATCGGGATATCGATGCATTGACTCGATTCCCGCCCACAGCAGGCGACTGGTGGACTGATTGACTGACACTGGTTGTTGTTAGACTGGTCTGAGCTAGAGGTGTGCGAGTCCAGCATATTAAGATTCGAGTCCAGACTCGAGTATCTATTCTGGACTCGAGTAATTACTCGAGTAATTACTCGAGTCCCACGGCTCTTAAGACTCGAGTTATTACTCGAGTAATAGTATCCCGAAAGTGAATTTTAGTGGGTTTCAAAAAAGGTTTTGTTGAATATCGGACAGAAAATAGAGTGCCTTCCTAGGAGGGAGCTTTAGTAGGCTTATGGCAATTCTAGGCATATGCTGTTTATACCGTATTTATTTTATTTTATCTTAGGAAGTGGCTATTCTCACCCCAGGTGAGAATAAAAATGTGATCGACCTCTCACCCCGGGTGAGACTAGCCAGTGTTGGCTAATCTCACCCGCTGTGAAACAAAACCGGGTGTTCCTAATTTCTGAATACTTCCTATCGGTGAGGATGATTAAATAGACAAACCCCTTTTTAAAAAAATGATATTATAACACAAAAGTAAAACTAATTTGGTGGTCTACAAAGATGCTACGGCTGTTTCACTTTTAGAATAGAGCCGAACTACCCTAATCGGCATTTTGTTTTGCCCAGAAGTTCTCGTTATATCTAGGCTACTCCTCTCTCTCTCTCTCTCTCTCTCTCTCTCTCTCTCTCTCTCTCTCTCTCTCTTTCAATGCCCGCAGATAAAATTGCATGTTTTTAACACAAGAGGACTGGAACGTTTGTTTACACGACAGAATTCAATTTTTAAAAAGTGTAGATCTAGAATTCTGTGGTTTACACTGGGTATCACATCACGGTAAACGCACACATGAAGAGAATAGCCAAAAGGCTCGCTCTCTCACCCCGGGTGAGTGAGAAGCTTACAACTGTATAACAACTAAGCTAAAATAGAGGTAGTCTTCATCTTATCTTATCTTATTTTTTATTTTTTTAAAATAATTCTTTGTTACAACAGTAAGAATAAAATGTACACAACCTGTAAACCTCAGACAATGCACTTCATAAAAGAAAGAAGTTTGATTGGTCAATGTGGGTTTCTAACAGTGGTTTCCTTTTTGCTTTTTTCTGGGGGGGGGGTTCGGTTTTTTCCTTTGGGGAAGGGTTTTTTTTTTTTTTTTTTTGTTCCTTTTCCTTCAGTTTTTAAAAATTGCTTATCAGAATTTTTCTTTGATCAATTCTTAACTTTTTTTTAAACCAAATTTTTCTCCTTTTTTCTGTTTTTCCCCTACAGACTCGAGTCCTTACTCGAGTCCTTACTCGAGTAATTTACTTGTGACTCGAGTCTGGACTCGCCGCATGTATTACTCGAGTACTCGAGCCTGGACTCGTTACTCGCACACCTCTAGTCTGAGCCAAGGGCCAAGGAGATTAAAAGTTCTAAACTCCTTGGTCTGAGCCCGAAGTCCGAAGCCCTGAGCTCAGGCTGTCAAAGTCAAGGAGACATTTTTTTCTCCGAAAATTTGTTAACCAAGATCTAGATATCTATGCCTCACGAGCAGACAATTATTTTAGGTAGGCTAGATCTAGATTCTAGATCTAGATTAGATCTAAATGTCCTGACTAATCTAGATCTAGATCTATATCTATATCTAGATCTAATTATTCCTCAAGTTTGTTTAAAAAAAGCCAAGCGTGCAGACCGCACGGCCTGTTTCGTGATCGAACGTGTCCATCCATGTTCCAGAAGATTCGGTTCCGTTTGGTTGTGATCATGTGGCATCACATCATGGGCCATGCGTCTATTTTATAGACTCTGGATCTAGATCTAGATCTAGATATATATATCTAGATTAGATCTAGAATCTAGATCTAGATCTAGATATAGATCTAGACTACATCTAGATTCCTTCATTTTTCAAGAACATTTTAAGTAGGAAGTGGAAGAGGCTAAGACGGCTAGACTGGCAGTCTGGCGATTGTTAAGATTTCCGCGTTTAATTCCGATGTGCGTTTTTCATAGGCCTACCCTCAGGCATAGATCTAGATCTAGATCTAGGTAAAATCCAAGCAGACCGGGTCAATACAATGAAATAATAGAGAAAAATCGGGAAAAATATTAATACGCCAGCAAAAGTGTTAATTTCCCTCCAAAATGAGAAATAAAAACTATTAACCACTTAACAATTAAAACACTTTCTACAATCGAAGTGGCTAGCCGTACTTAAGTACGGCTAGACTGCCAGTCTAGCCGTACTTAGATCTAATCTAGATCTAGATCTAGATCTAGGTTTGGCCCAATCGACTCAATCCTGTTAAGTACACAGGTCTCATTAGATCTAATCTAGATCTAGATGTAGATCTAGTAATTATTCAGGTTCAAATACATGCAAGTCAGTAAGGCACCTTTTGTTTTTGTCTGAAATACAAATACTTTAGGCATTGCAAACTAAAATTTTCATTTACAATTCAGCCATCAATATTAAGTACGGCTAGACTGACGTCCTTAAGTACGGCTAGCCTGGCTGTCTACCCGTACTTAAGTACAAGAACCGTACTTATCTTAGGCCCTATTTACATTAGAAAACAGGAGGTTTAAAATACATGCACTGTCATTAAGGAACCTGGTTTTGTCTCAAATACAAATACTTTAGGTACTGTACACTAAAAATGTATATATATTTACAATTCAGTAGGCCTATTTTTTGTAAATGGTCAGTCTAGCCATCATATTAAGAATAAGTACGGCTAGCCTCTTCCATAATAGAAAGGGTTCGTAATAGAAATCTAGTAATACTCATTTAGGCTAATTTCATTTCCTGTAGGCTACATTAGGCTAATTCCAAATTCTGCTGTTCGCAAACTTCACGCTTTTCCCCAGGTGGCGCACTTCTTTTACATGTATTTTTTTTTACTTCTTTAATTTTTTAATTCCTTAAGATTAGCCTAATAATGTTTTTTAGCCGCTCAAAGGGAGGAGTGAACTATCTGGTAGTTCAGAATCGTTTATAGTTGATTAGTGAAATTAGTATCGATACAATAAAAATGACCACGGGCTCTTGTCATTAGGCTATTGTCTTTATAGGCCTAGTTGACAATCCTTGGGTTTTCTTTCAGTAAAGGTCGTTTCAGATGTTTGGTTTTAGACCACCTGGATGGTCAGGTACATATGTAGGCCAATACTTTTATCTCAGAATGTAGATGAATATAATCGGACTCATACTAGTGCAAAGTGCAATATCGTAACTAGAAACTCTCAACAACTTTAAACAAGTACATAATATACTGCTTTCTGGATAAAAATGTATCAACACATGATGCCGCATTTCAATTAAATGCAAGCCTTTGATTTACTTTCCTTTTGTTTCCGCACATTATTTCATGACGAAAAGACAGTCAGCTGTACATGTTTTAACATAATATGATGAGGCTACTTTGTGAAATTTAAGGACTTTCAGCCGGTAGCAAGGTAAGATGAGGCTGAGGGTTACCCGGACCGGTAGATCTAACTTACTGACATTCTAACCATCATAGATTTAGATCTATTGATCATAGACTCTATATTGGGCCCCGGCCCCTAAAAAAAACCAACAACCCAGTACACTGAAGCTGGAACGTAAAACTTTCTAGGAGATGGGGTAGGGTTAGGTAGGCCTAAGGGGTAGAGGCAGAGGGTAGGGGTAGATCTAGGGCGATTTTGCAGTTTCGTTTGTTAAAGTCAAGACTCAAGAGTAGGGGGGTTTCAGGGGGGCATGCCCCCCTGAATTTTATCCTTTGATAAAAGTTTTGCGGTTAAGTTGCATCCCTGCTCTTTGTGTAGCCTAATTCAAATAGTATTTGGTCTTCAAGACTTCTGGATGTAAACAAATGGATCGTGGACTTTAACGAACGGAACTACAAAATCACCAGATCTAGATCTAGATCTAATCTAGATTCTAGTGTTAGGATAGTAATGCTTTATTCTAGATTCTAGATCTAGATAAATCTAGATTAGATCTAGCCTCTAATCTAGGGTACAAAACCAGCTGGGTGCTCGACCTCTTCTGCTCCTCAAAACTGCTACTCAAAACTGCTACTCTAGACTCTAGATCTAGAAAATCTAGATCTAGATTCTAGTTCTAGATTAGACCTAACTGAACTGTGAACCAACTCTGAAGCCTCACTATCTAGTCTAACCATAAACCGACAGAAGGCATTCATCCAAATCTGTGTGTTTTCTACTTGCTCGGTACAGCTTGAGAATGGTAGATCTAGGGGTAGGGTTAGGATTACCCACACCCGAGGATACTAGAACTAACGATTTATTTTAGTACCTCCCTAACTCTAATCTTACTGTAAGTAAAAATAAGTTACCCTGCCTATCCCTACTCTTAGTCTTACCCTAACCTGCTACCCTCATTATAAATAATTAGGCTGGCTCTATTTCTCCGAAAGCTCAGGCGGGAAAATAATAAACTTGAACTCTTATTTCTCCCAACGATTTCCGTTCTTGAGATTTGTCGGTTATTTGCGAATGGAGTGGCCCGTGCGTGCGTGTGTGCGTCTGTGTTTGTGTGTGTATGTGTGTGTGTGTGTAAGGTGTGAATGGGAGAAGGGGGGGGGGGAGGAGAACGTGGGGACGTGGAGGGATTTTTTATGTTTACGTGAAGGATTTTAATTTTTACTTTAGGGGTGACTAAATACAGTTTATAGGGTACTGCAAAAGTCGAGCAGTCTTATATTTTCTCATAGTACCTTTTGAAGGCATAAATTTCAAATGAAGTATAAATCCGGAAACGTTGCCCCAACCACAATTGAAGTCTGAATATTCAGACATTTAAAAATCTCTAAATCTAGCTCTAGATATTGAATTTGATGCAAACAAAAATACTTCTTCACAGTCCTCGCAGAATGAAAGATGACGCCAAAATCTCGCCAAAAAAATCTCGAGAACAGAAACCATTCGGAGAAATAGAGCTCAAGTTTATTTACCCGAGCGTTCGGAGAAATAGTCTCTTCGTTATAACTAAGGTAAGGCCTGTAATCTACCCGGTTTCAGCAAATATGAGGTAATATTATTGTGAACATGCAGCTATAGATTAGAAGAATGCCTCTCTATAAATACATACCCCTACTTGTACCCTAACCTATTTGACTCTTACCTTTCTCTATTTTCAGAATCCAGCAAAAGCAGGTAAAACGTGCACATCTGGCATCTGGAAAATTAGTTGTGTTGAGAGCTTGTATAGGCAGGTCAGGTAGTGCAAGCGGCTCAACTGAAGACTGAACACGATGGTTGGTGTGAAAGCCTTTGTTGTGCTTTTGTTTGTATTCCTGATGACTTTGTCTGGTGCTTTGCTGTTTCTGAAAGGATTTCTGTTGTCAAGAACTGCCGTTGATGTAAAAAGTGATTGTAAAGCGGATTTCGCACTTGCTGCAGCTGATCATCCTCACCATGGAATAGAAGGCTGCTGGATGCACGGCCGATTCAGGAAAGCCGTTATCGTCATAATTGATGCTTTGAAGTATGACTTTTTGGCTTACAACAATACCCTGTCCACTGAAGCGAGTATTCCTCCCTTTATAAATAAATTAAAAAGTGTACGTCGTCTGATGCAGAAGAAGCCTCTTAATACAAGACTGTACAGATTTATGGCAGACCCGCCAACGACAACTCTGCAAAGATTGAAAGGGTTGACGACAGGCAGTCTACCAACTTTTGTTGATGCTGGTGCTAATTTTCAAAGCTCTGAAATTTCAGAGGATAATATTATTGACCAAATGGTTTCTGCTGGCAAAAGGATAAAATTCCTTGGGGACGACACCTGGCTGAGTTTATTCCCAAAGAAATTTCACAAGGCCTTTGGCTTTCCATCGTTTGATGTAAAAGATTTAGATACCGTTGATGATGGAATTTTAAAGCATGTTTACTCTCAAATACGACGCTCTGACTGGGATGTCACCATTGCTCATTTTCTCGGAGTTGATCACTGCGGACATCGGTTTGGTCCAAACCACCCAGAAATGGCGAAAAAGCTGTCTCAGATGGATGATTTTCTGAGGTATGTTATATTATACTACATGATGATAATTAATAATTGAAGGGGTTAAATGAAAAACAGGATAATTTGAAGTCCATTTTCAGAAAAAATCAGAGTAATTTCTTTAACTTTTATTATATGTATGTATGTATGTATATATATATATATATTATATATATCACTTTAGCAAGTAATATATCCCAATGAAATAGGTCGACTGAAAAACCAATTAGATTATTCACAAACTGTATCTGTATAACGGCAGATCAAATAAAAAACACACCAAGTCCATCATTACATGTAAGTTTAAAGCATGGAAAGTTTAACCTGACTTTGCCTGATTTCATGTGACCCTTTCAGTTTGTCAAATTTTGTGAGATTGCTGTCATGTGGTATAAATAGTGAAGTGGGAAAAATAAATTTCACTTTCATTCATCATTATATTATCAATGCCTTTCTCACTCTGGATCAGAGGCCACATAGAAACACACTTCCCACATTTCCCTAGATAGATTCCTATGCTAGCTCTCATTTCCCACAAGATATATAATATATAGCAAGATGATCAGTTCCATATATACAATGTAATCATATCACCAAAGATTTCACGAAAAGAATAAATTTATAATTCTGAGCATTCAGTAGGTGGAACCTTATGATGTTCAACAGAAGAAACTACCACTAAAATTACTTTAAGTGTCTGTGAACCGTTTATTTTGTAAAAATGCAACTTTGGAAATAATAGGTATTTTCACAAAATCACAGAGGCATCCTTTCTTCTTCTTCTCAGGAACGTTACACAGATGATTCAGGATGATACTGTGCTGTTTGTCATGGGTGATCACGGAATGACTCGCACTGGGGACCATGGCGGTGATAGCAAAGATGAGCTTGAAGCCGGACTCTTTATTTACAGCCCTGCTCAGATTGCCTCTTCCTCCCAAACAGAGGTAGTCATAATGGACAGTTTTAGTGTCCTTTTGGAGTTGAAGCTATTTTAAGTTGACAATAAAAAAGTAAAAAAAAAAAAATTCAACTCCATCCGCACAATGCAGATCAAAGCTGAAATAGAAGCCTTAGAATTTTTCGGACTAGGTAAAAGTGGAAGTTGATTGCGTGACTATGTTTTTTAATTTTCCCTTCAGATATTTAAGATTTTTAGTAGCAGGCTTCATGAGATCTTTTTAGTTCTATTATAGGAAAATGATATTGTCCAATTTCTTTCCTCACCCTGCGGGGTAGGTCAAAGGAAGTGTCAGTTTTGTCTTTATAACGATAATTCCACATCCTACAGATACTGTTTTTCTGCAATAGCAATAATTTATAATGTTTGAGGATTTTTGTCAACTTTTGATCATTTCATTTCTACTGTACTGGTGTCTGTGTTGTTTAGGTGCTTCACTGGCACACAGAGGAGACCCGAGTTCGATTCCCTAGTGGGGAAAAGTTTTTATTTAGTTCGAGTGTCTCAGTCTTTCTTTTGGGGTGTTGTATTTTTCTCAGCCCAGGCAGGGTTGGAAGCTCACCTCATCCTCTGAATGATCTAATTTTTGTTGATGTGGGTTTTTAAAAAATGCCTGCATTTTTTTTTTCAGTTTCAGCAGAACATTGTGAGACAGACTGACTTCGTGCCCACTGTGTCGTTGTTGCTTGGCCTTCCTATTCCTTTCTCCAACCTGGGCATGATCATACCGGAGCTGTTCAGTCACTGCCCCTGGTGGGACACTCCGTCCAACGACATCCGGCAAGCATATCATCGCGTTAAGGTAGGCTTGGACAGAAAATCATGAATACATAATATAAATAAATAAATTACACTTTATTCGTCCCTGTTGAGAAATTCAGGATGTAATGGCTAACAGAAATACTTGATTAAACTCAGGAATATACGAACAAAGAATACCAAATACGCAACATAGCACCGTTGTAGATTTCAGTCTGAACTCACTCGGCCACTGGTGTGCTAGACTGACACCATTTTCTGCATGCCTTCTATTATTTCATCCAGATAAATTGTACAAACTCAACCTATAAGTTTGAGATATCTATTTTCAAGGTCCAAAATCTTACCAAAAACTCATTTTGTCAGCACACTTCATTCATCAGTTTTTGGGCACAAGGAGTTATTGGTATCATCTTACAGCTTGTTCGTTTGTCTTGTTCTTGATGCAAAAAAATACCCATTTATTTTTAATAGAAGTCGAAATATTTACAATTGAAAGAGGTGGGGTCACTGGGAGTCAGAGATAGAATTAACGTGAAAATGGCCGCCAAAGTGTTGTGACTTCCAAAGCCTGGATGTCTTTGGAAACTGCAAATTTACATTTTTGTGCCTATTATCAACTTTGATCAATAGAAGGAGGGCGTCCCCCCCCCCCCCCAAAATAAAATAAAAAATAATAAAATTGATAACGAAAACTTAACGGGTGAATAGTGTTATGGTTTCTTATAATTCATTATTTTAATAAACGGCTGTCTTCACTATGATACCACACCAATAATATGATGTTTGTCATACAACATCATTGTCATGTCTCATTGCCAGGTGCTCCGTCTGAATGCTCAACAAATCGACGTTTATCTCCGGGCTTATCAAGAGATTTCTTCCGACATACCCAGAGATAAGCTGAGGGCTTTGCACCAAAAGATCAATGAAGCTGAGGGCATCCTGCAGGGCCTGCTCACCCGCATGGTGTCGCAGGGTACCTCTGGCGACGACCCCCATAACTTGCGACAGCTGGAGAGCACGTACCGATCGTACATTGAGACAGCCAGGGAGATGTGTGAGGCTGTTTGGGCCAAGTTTGACTGGAAATTGATAGCGGTGGGCCTGCTCACCATTGCAGTTGGTGTTCTAATAGGAATATTCTTTCTGATTTCTGTAGCGAGTAATGAAGAAGATTTTGTGCCAACGTCTGGGAAGTTTCTTCTCGCCGGCTGCCTTGTTCATCTGGTGTGTCTAGTCGTGCATTTTACTCTGCTCCCAGAGTCTGTGCCGCCACTTATGGCTTTTGTATCATCCATCTTCCTTATCTTTGTGACTTTAATTTTCATTAAGAATTACATTGTGGGTATGATCTCGAAGTTCTTCACTTTAGAAAATTTTGTTGCTTCCCTTCTCCTTGTTATGTACTGTGCGGTGTATTTTTCCAACAGTTTTGTGGTAGGAGAAGATTCTGTGTCAGTGTTCATGGCACAGACCCTTGTGTCCTGTCTGGGTTTGGCCATCATCTGGAGGAACAACTCTCAACTCAACGAAAGTGGAAAGACAGATTTTTCTAGAAGCGGCAAGAAAGGTAAACCAAGCTTTGATCTGCTACATACCCTTACCCAACCTTCATCTGTGACCGCCTGTGTGGCAGTACTAGCGTGTTGTCTTCTCCGCGTTTCTTCCTCGTTCTGGGCCTGCAGAGAAGAACAAACTGGCTGCGAAGATTCCATCTTTGTGCATCCTTTATCAGCCGTATCGGAAGGCACTCGAAACCAAAGATATTTGCTCAGCGTTGCTTGTCTCGCTGGGACGGTGTATCTAGTGAGACACTGGCTGCAATATTACGGGAACCTCAACAGTGCTTCAGCCAGCGTTCTGGCCCTGAGATACGGCCCGCCGTTGGCTGCCTTGTTCTCGGCTCTCCACTGGGCACTGCAGGCCGTTCCCCAGGCAGCCTTGGAGGGTTTCGCCAAGTGGCAGCAAGTGCTGATGGCTCAGGCGGTCTACGTGCTGCTCATCGTGATGGTCGTGACTCTGGTTGTCTCCCCTCTTCTCGTCTTCAAACTGCCAACGAGAAGTGACTCGCCGATCAACTTGCCAGCGGCATGTAAGTCCGATTTACCCGTTTTTTTTCTCTAGTCTTATGTACTTCTGTAGTCCTGTTCATTTCTACGTCTTGTTTTTTTTTCTTGATTTCAGTACATTTTTCTGTATACCCCCGGGGTGGTGCTACTGACTGAAGTGTCTTTTGGCCATTCTCAAAGGGGGAACATTAACATGTTCTTATGCTCCGTAGAATTGTAAATGGGCTGATTCATCAATGTCATGCTCATAACTGTGTCTGAGCAGCAACGCGGAACTGCTGCTTTTTCTTTCCTCATCCTTACTATCGTCATTTTTCCTCTACTTCTTTTGTTTGTCACACTCTTGTGACCCGCTATTTCCGGGGTGTCTTGATAGTTGAAGCAGACTTTGTGCTGTTGAAACTGGAGAGGTGAGCTGAGTAAGCCTGATTCCCTGCATGGACTTCTCTGTTGACATCCACCTCTTGGCGCTCATATTTGATCTTATGCAAGCGCTGTAAAACGTCTACTAAAAAACTGTTTATTTCTCTAGTGTACTTCTGTAGTCTTGTGTATGTCTCTAGTCTTGTTCATTTCTTCTTCCTGTAAGTTTCTTTCTTGATCTTTGTTCATTTGTCTGTTCTTGTTTATTTTTCAGTTCTTTTGTATTTCTCTAGTCTTGTACATTTCTCTATTTTTGTGTGTATTCTTCTATTCTTGTTCATTTCTCCTTGCTTATTTCTCGATTTTTGTTCTTTTGTCTCTTCTTGTTTATATCTTTGTTCATATTTATTTTTCTCTCTTTGTTCATTTTTCTTTTCTTGTTCATCTCTCTTTTGAAGAAGCCCACCTCTTAAATGATCTAAATTGTGTTGATAGGGGCGGGGCGTAAAGGCACGTATTGAAACAAAAAACCGCCAAAATTGTTGCTATCTCCCCCACACAGCTTGCGGGCGGCAGGTGATCGATTTTTGTTCATTTCTCTATTCTTGTGTATATCTTTATTCTTATTTGTTTTTCTTCTATATTTGCACATTTCTCTATTCTTGTGTATATCTGTATTCTTATTTGTTTTTCTATCTTTGCATATTTCTCTATTCTTGTTTGTTTTACAAGAAGCCCACCTCCTGAAAGATCTAAATTGTGTTTATAGGGGTGTAAAGGCACGTACATTAAACAAAAATTAAACGAAAAAAATGTTGCAATCTCCCCCACACAGCCAGCGGGCGGCAGGTGATCCCAACCTTGTACAACCAGCTGAAAGTGAGGCTCCATGACAGAGCCAATCGCCGGCTGGCCGAGGGGGGGGAGGAGGAGAAACCCCCTATGGTGTACGGCCTGGGCTCTGCCTACTCGGCCAGTGTGGTGTCCCTTCTGCTGGCCGTCAGCCTTCTCCTGGCGCTCCTACTCAACGACGGAATGGCGCCCAGCTTGCTGCTGGCGGCTTTGACCTTGTACCTGACCTTGGAGCTGTACTCGGCGGCAGTTGTGAGCTCCTGCCCATCCTCCGGGACCCCAGAAGGTGTGTAAGCGTTTCTTAGTTCTTAATAATTTTTGGTAATAAAAGTTTTGCTGCCTTTACATTCGCGTATGGTCATAATCTTATGAGCTACTATTCGTTTATATCCTCTTGGTAGGGGACTTTTGTGGTTTAGAGGTTTCGGTGTTTGCCTCTCATTCAATAGGTCCTGTGTTCAAAACTTAAAGCAACAGAACATTTTTTTTCTTTAAACTATTCTCCTTTCACCCCCTTTTCTGTTCACTCATCTTGTTCTGTTATCTGCTTTCTTTTCCAATTTCTGCCCCCCCCTCCCCTTCCCATTTGCTTCTTCCTCTGGGATCCTAACTCTTTCTGCAGCTTTTCTACTGCTACTCCTTGGCTTCTTCTTAATGCTGTCTTTCAGCCACAGCCCTGATTTTATGGTAGGAAAGACCTAGCCTTCTTGGATAAGGGCGAAAAATCTCTGAGGTCCCATGTGCAAGTTGCGCATGTTAAAGATCCCTTAGTGGTTCTAAACTTGATTAGAGTAGGCTTCGGCTGCCACCTGAGCAAAATTAAAAATTAATTGGGTGGTTGGCGGGTGCTCTGGTGTGGTTTGCTCCTTCTTTCCTATCAAACATCTATCATCTTTATCTCCCCTCCTTCTTTGTTATGTTTGTTACTCTCTTGTAACACCTCTATTCTTTGGCACTTATAACCTAGTTGTGTTGCACTTGCATGACCTACTTCTGTTGTTGGATGTTGGTGTCATAAAACTGTTACAAAAATTCAAACTGCTTGTCTTTTTTCTATTTTCCAGAAGTTTCTGACACTATGGTGTGGTGTGGCGCGGTTCTCCTGAGCCTCCTGTCCTCCACGTTTTTCTACAGCACGGGTCACCAGGCGACCATACCCAGCATTAGGTTTGAGGCGGCCTACACTGGCTTCTACGGACACTTTCAAAACTTGCTTCTTCCAGGTTTGTTTGTTTTTTTGTTTTTTTCATCTTTTAATCATACAGTCTAGTATAGTAGCATGCACATCTCTCTCTCTGTCTGTCTCTCTCTCTCTCTCTCTCTCTGTCTCTCTCTCTGTCTCTCTCTGTCTCTCTCTCTTTCTCTCTCTCCCTTCCTCCCTCCCTCCCTCCCTCCCTCTATCCCTCCCTCCCTCCCTCCGTCTCTCTCTCTCTCTCTCTCTCTCTCTCTCTCTCTCTCTCTCTCTCTCTCTCTCTCTCTCTATCTTCTATCTATCTATATATATACCATTTTAGCACAATTTGACTGAAGTCAGCAGTGACCTTCAAAATCAATCACCTTTGTTTTTCAAGGGAGCCAGTCAAACTGTTGGATGTGAATAGCCAGTGACAATCAATCTTTTCTTTTTATATGTGACTTGTGACTCTAATAACACCTCTAATTTGCACTTGTGTGACTTATTTTTGTTGCAAGTGCCATAATATAAATCTGTTACTAAAACTAGCACTAAAACATCCTCTCTTCCGAGATGGATTCCTGAGTGTGGAGAAAATTCTTATCAAATTAAATATCTTGGTCTTTCTGCTGAAATGTTGTATTTCTCTCAGTCTGGGTTGGCCTTAACAGGTAAGGCCGGAAGCCCTCTTCTAAAATGATCTAAATCGTCAGTAAGCTGTTCAAGTGTATTCTTAGCCTAGAAAACTAAATTTTTCAGGAAAGAAACGATTTTTTCTGTGCTCCTTGAGAAATTGTGCCAGCGTTGTGTATCTTCTTTTGCTTTTTTCAACATTTAGAATTTGAATTTAGACCAATCAGTTCATGAGTACACGCAAACAGTATTCAATACCAAAGGTTAGGAAACTGCGTTAAAATGAGTTTTCTAAATTTCTGGCTTTCTATGTTTCAACAGCTGGTGGATGAAATATTGTTTCGATTGGGGTGTAAAAACACCTATTATTACTCAAAAAAAAGAAAAATTATATTTTACATTTGAAACAAAAAATGTTTCCCCTACTCCCCCCCCCCCAAAAAAAGAAGAAAAATTGTTCTTCTTTTCAATTACATGATTAATCATCCTCTTCATTAAAAAAACCCATTTTTTCCATCCTCTCTTAAAGGTTTTTTGATCTGGATGAACACGTTCGCGGGGCCGGTCCTCTTCAGCCTAGCTGCCCCTCTGCTTCTGTTCTGGCCTGCGTTGTCCAGTGCGGTGACCAGAGCCATGCTGGTGACGGGGCCAGATCATCAGCGCCGGGCTGACCAGTCGTGGGAGGGAGATTTCACTTTGTTCAACAACGCCGTGAGGCTCCGGAGAAACTTGTTCAGGATTTGCTGCGGGGTGATTGTGACCTCGTCGCTGAAGGTGAGCGAACAGTGGATGGTTGGCAGGTGCTTTGGTATGTGTGTGTGTGTGGGGTGGGGAGGGGGTAAGTTGTTGGGTGCCCTGGTGTATGGGTGTGTGCGTGCACGTGTATGTGTGTAGGGGAGTAATTGGCGGGTGCTCTAGTGTGTGTGTGTGTGGGGGGGGGGGGGGGTAAGTTGATGGTTGCTCTGGTGTGTTTGTGTGTGTGTGTGTGTGTGTGTGTGTGTGTGTGTGTGTGCATGTGCATGCGCACGCATGTGTAGGTGAGTAGTTGTATGGTGTGTGGGTTGTGGTTGGAGAGTGGTCTGGTGTGGTGTGCGCCTCCTTTCCTATCAAATTTCTATATTCCTTTTACCTCTTGCTTCTTTTCTTTATATCTTTCTCTCTAGTAACACCTCTTATCTTCAGCACTGATATGATCAGGTTGTGTTGCAAGAAATGTAAGAGCTGATTTTGCACTGTGTTACCTTTTTAGTTTTTGCGCAATGTTTATATGACCCATTTGTACTGCAAGTGCCATAAAACTCTTACTCAAACTCAATTTAAATCAGGTTTAGTATTGTTTTTAGTGCTCAGTGCTTTTTGAAGTGGGTTCAGTATTCTTTGTTGTTGTTATTATACCATAAATGATTAGTTTTTTCTTTATTGAAAAATTCATTAATAAAAAATCAAGATATTTTTACGCCCCCGTCCACACAATTTAGTTCATTTAAGAGACAGGCTTCGACCTGTCAAAGCCAACCAGGATTGAGAAGGATTCAACTTTCCCGCAGAAAGACGAGATACTTGATAAAGTTTCTTCCCTCATTGGAATTAAACTCAGATCTCCTGTGTGCAATGGTGAAGCACCTAACTGCTACACCATGAATGCCAGTGAATGATTAGATAAAGTTGATGTACTGGCATGGTTGAACTTGCTCTAACAGACACTTGTATTTTTATGAAAAAAACAATCACCTATACTATACTTTTTAATTTACTTTACTTTTCCAATCCAGTGGCCACCTGAGTTCTAGCCTATTCAACTATACAAACTACCTCTTCCCATTTCTTCATCTCTCCCCCTCCATCTGTGCAACAGCACTGTGTAAGACATCTATCTGTCTAAGATGGGCGCTTTTAACCTTGACAATGGGTGGCTGTCTTAGACTATTTTTATTGTGGTGCTGTAGTTAGGCTCTCGACTCGCAGCCGTAAGGTCGTGGGTTCGAATCCCGTCTGGGACCCGATGTGTCCTTGGGAAAGACACTTTACACGAATTTTCTTTTTCTCACTTCACCCTGGGTACCCAGCCACAGACAGTGAAAGATCTTGTCAGTTTGATAGTGTTTGAGTGCTTAATCAGCTGCTTGCACTGTATACTTCCCGGGGTTTCAGAGTGTTATATGGTCTGCTGGGGTAATAACATAGTGTAAAGCACATAGAGCTTGCTGTAGAGCGGGGTTATGCGCTATACAAATGTTATTTATTGTTGTTAATTATAGTTCTGTATTTCGTTGACTGTATATGTTTATTTTCCTCCTCAGCTTTTAGCAGCAGCTGGTGCTGCCACCGTCCACCGCAGACACCTCATGGTGTGGAAGATCTTTGCGCCGCGCCTCGTCTACGAGGGGGCCATGTTTTTGACCAGCTCTGTGTGCGTCATATTAGCGTTTCTGTTTGTCATGAGAGTGGACCGGACGATGACCAAGTTCGTAGCAAGCCTGCCGCCAGCTCAACGGAATTAAAGTCTTGCTCATCTTTGGTTTTGTAACTCTTTTATCCTCGGAGGAGGTTTTCCCACAATGCAGGAGCCTTCTTTAGTATAAAAACTGAGAGTGATATACACATCACTAAATCAAAACAAATGAACCTATTTTAAAAGTTTTTCATCCAACGAAGAGTTCCAGGTAAGAGCAAGAGAGTCTTATTTTTGCAATTTCTGAAAATTCATGTATGTGGTCGTCGTTGTCGTAACAGAATTAGCCGGAGCCGCTGAGAGCGGATCAACGGCACAGCAGTTCTGACCTACCTGAAGCTGCTGGGAAAGGCTGGCAGGAGATGAGGAATTTAAAAAGACTTTTCCTCAGCTAGCTGTTCAGATGTTCTAAGCCCAGTAAACGAATGTGAGGCAGTGTGGTGAAATTAGGCGCTCGTCAAAATAATGAAATTGAAGAAACTGGCATTTTTCTGCTAGTTTGGTAATTTTTACCAAATGTTTAATTTTTGGCTGAACACCATTGTTGTCCTATTCAGAACACATTTCTGGGAGAATTTTACTGAAAAACGTTGATTGAACGCACAAAAAATGTAAATTTCAGTTTCCACGGACTATCAAGCTATGGAAATAACCAAACTTTTGCAGCCATTTTCTCGCTAATTCTACCTTTGAAACCAGGCCACCCCACCTTCTTCAATCTCAAATATCTCGACTTCTATTCAAGATAGATGGGCATTTTTTCACCGATGGCAAAACAATTGAACATGTTTTAAGATGATTCCAATAATTCCACATATCCGAAACTTGAGGAGCGCCTGATTCCACGACGTCGTGACACAAATGTTTTCAGAAGAGAACAAGAGTTTCAAGTCATTGTACCTACTTGATATATCTTTTTTGCCTTTTTCAACATTCAGAATTTGAATTTCAACAAAACATTTCATGAACTCATACGTCTGATACCACAGATTAAGAAACTAATCAAAAACGTAATTTGTCGAAACTTTGAGCTTGATACATCTGAACAGCTGGCCGACGATTGATCCCTTTCATATCGACCACTTAGTGTAGTACCGGATGCCCCTTGGCACGATCGGGTCGGGTCAGGTCGGGTTGGGTGGGTCAGTTTGCTAGCCAGACTGAGGGCTCAAAGTGGCTGTCGTGGCCCAAACCGATCGCCGACTCCTCGCCTTAAAAAGAAACTGGTTTGTTTTCAGACGACGAGTCTGGCGATCGACCCGACCCAACCCGGTCCCATCCACAATGGGCATCCGGTATAAGACTGTGCCATATTGTAAAGTGGCATATGACAATGGAATCTCATGCTCGTCAATTTTTGTCGGTATTTGGAGTTGTTTGTATCACCTTTATAGCTTGCTCATTGTCTTATTTTTGGATAGAAAAAAAAAATATCCATTTATCTTGAATAGAAGTCAAGATATTTTTAATTGAAGGAGGGGGGTTGCCTGGTGTCAGAGGGAATATATATAACCGCTAAAGTTTGGTGACTTCCAAAACTTGAGTGTCCATGGAAACTTAATCTACAGCGGGGGGGGGGGGGGGGGGGGGGTGCTTTTCATCGTTTTTTCAGGAAAATCCACTCAGAAGTAATTTGATGGAAAAATATAAGAGGAAATTGCCCAAAGATTGAAAAAAATGTAGGTTTTTTTTTGGGTTGAGATTCTAGTATTTCGACAAGCTCCTGATTTCACCTCGTTGACCACACCTGTTTTTATTTAAAGATGTTTGTTGTCACTGAGCCAGAGTGTTCCCATCAGGGTAGTGGGAGGTGGAGACGGAATGACTTCTTTCATTGCAAATGGAACAAGTAAGATCCCTCAGACTCAGAGGATTACTATCATCATCATCGTTGAAAAAGCAGGGTAGGCATGGAGAAGTGATTGATTTTCAGTCTGTAAATGTAAATTAAAAATTGTTAAAACAAGATTTTTAGACATATATTTAAACGAAACAATGTTTCACCTCGTAGGCTTCTTCAGAAGCAACTGTGAGTAAAACTAATGACATCATCTTCATCATCATCATCATCATCATCATCATCATCATCATCATCATCATCATCATCATCATCATCATCATCATCATCATCATCAAGTGCCAAAACTTTGATGGACATCAGCGATCATGGTTTCCATTCATTCCTTTGCTAGGATGCTCTCAAAAAAGCTACATTATCTCAATCTTTCTCCGTCACCCGTCTGCTTAGGCTTTTCAAGTAAGTTTCTCCGAGTCTACCCTTGCCTCCTTTGTCTTCAGTTTGAGGAGGATGGCCAGGAAAAAAATCCATCATTTTGTAGCATGCATTGGCAAACAGTGCCAGTTCTGACAGTGAGTCAACCCAGTATTTGATTTAGGAATGTGGCCTGTGGTGGATTAATAATTGATAAAAACTAAAACAAAATTGAAATCAATAATGTTAGCCCAGTGTCCATTTTATACTCACTTTTGAGAGCTTGAGTATTTCAATCAATTTCACCCAACTTTCTCCTGCTTTTGCCTGCAAGTGCGAGATATGTGTAGTGGCTTAATCTGGCCCGTGACTTTGAAACACCTGCCTGTGCCGGTTTTGTAACAAAGAATTGGAAAAGAAATAATGTAGAGCAAACCGTCAATCGTTGGTTGCTTTAATCAAACAAACAGTTTGACAGCCACAGGTTTGCCAACTGTGGTGAATTTCCCGGGGCTGTCCTGGATTTGGGAATCAGGAATTTGAGAACCTTATCTCGTACTGTGACCCATTTTCCAAAACTATTTCAGTTTATTTGAGGTCCTTTTATCACATACCCATTGTCCAAAACCATTTCAGTCTGGTAAAAGTTTGTTGGCTTTCTTAGTCCAACTTGATATAATTTTGTTCGTTGTTAGTTAATTTGAAGTTCTAATGTTGAGGGTCCCTGGTTGGGTTTTGAAACTGTTGGCAAGCCTGCAGTCAGCATCAGTTTTCAGTGTCTCGACAAAACAGAGTTTGTTGCTGATAATAACGAAAACTCCCCCCATCCTCCCACCCCCCCAAAAAAAAGATAGAACCTGAGTATAACAGCACTAACAGTATAACCTTTATTGCTGTCCCATTTAGTTTATGTTTGAAACTCATGTCAATCTTTCATCAATTTCTCGTTCAATTCTTGCAGAACTGACATCTGTGGTGTGACGGTCAAGCACTTCGCCATCGCACACACAGGGGAATCGAGTTGGATTTGTGTATGGGGAGGATTTTAAAAGGGAATCAATGTCTTTCTTCTGGGATGTTATATCCATCACAGCCTGGGTTGGCCCTGATAGGCAAGGTCGAAACCGGCCTTCTAATTGATCTCAGTTGTGTTGATGGGAGCATAAAAACACTTTCATCAAAAGAAACGAACAAGCAACCCTCCCCCTCAAAAAAAAAATTAAAAATCCAAAAAATCCCCAACTCAGGCCCCCCCCTCCCCCCCCCCCCCCAAGTCCTGTAGCTAGGTGTACTAACTCATCTTTCTCTTGTGAAAACCCACAGTCGGTCTTTACCACTCCACCTTATTTTACTTTCTTCCTCTTCAATGATAACTTTGAATTTGATTGTACTAGACAAATGTGTCGCAACACATTGGATTTGGAATCAGGCGCTTCTCAATATTAGGAAGTATGGAGCTATTGGTATAATATTAAAGCTTGTTCTCTTTCTTGCTTTTGATGAAAAAAAAAAAGACCCATTTATCTCAAATAGCAGAAATCGAGACTCAGTGGTGTCCTTGAGAAGCAGGCCTTGGTTTCTGTTTAGGCCAAGCGGATTTTGCTGCTGAGCTTTCGTAGAGGGAGAATAATCTGCTCCAAGTGAATGTTTATAAATTGCAGAATTACGTCCCCTTTGGATTTAGGCACTCACGTAGAGCAAAGTTTCTGTGTGTATTTACTTACTGCAGAAATGAGTAATCAGCTCTTTCTTGGTTGGCAGTTGCGCTTGATATAATGTCGTCTTCATCATTTTTTCTCATCTCTGTTCTTTTGGAATGTGCTGAGCTGTTTTTGCAGTACTTACTGTACAATTGTCACATACTGTCAAAATGCCACACACATCCAGGTCTTCATTTGGGCCCAAAATCAAAATGGCTTTAGATTCGGTTACTCAAGCCTTGGTTACTGTTAGACGAATGTTGCTCTTATCTGCGTGGAGGTTAAGTGGACACCACTGTATTTGCGATTTGACGGCGCTTTTCAGTAAAATCCACACAGATATATATGTTTTTATATGGATAGAATGATGTTGAGCAAAAAATAATTTTTTTAATTGATGAAAATTTCCGAATTATGGTTGAAAAAATGTGGGTTTCTTCGACTTCCTTATTTTGATGAGCTCCTGATTTCGCCACAATGGTGCTCAATTCCTCTTTTCAGTTTTTTCGAATCTTTATAAACTTGGACAAATAACGCATGGTAATAGACGGTAGTCTCTGCTTGAGAACTTGTCAGCTTTAAAATAGGCCCTCAGACTTGCATGCCTAAGGTCGTGGGTTTGAAAACCATCAGGGATTCGAACATTGTGTCCTTGGGAATAGCAATGTTCACAAAATTTTCTCACTTCTCCTAGGTGGGAATGGGTACCCGGCTACAGAAGGCAGAAGATTTTGTCAGTTTGTTAGTGTTAAGAGTTTTCAGCGTCTGTAATCAGCAGCTTGCACTGTATGGTTTTCATGAAGGCGAGGATGTTTTTGAATGTTCTGAGGTCTGCTGAGGGAATAATAGTTGTAAAGCGCATAGAGAATGCTGTAGAGGGTGGATATGCGCTGTATTGGTGCTGTTATTAATTGTTATATTCTTCTTCTTCTTCTTTTTTGATATTGTTATTGTCAATATTTTCGTTACTATAAATTATCATAATCATAATTATTATTTCATAATTATTATTATTATTATTGTTATAAAAGAGCCCATTTTGGGCAATTAATAATTTTTTTTTGGTTTCTATAATTTGCATGCCAAAGATTTTTAACTAACCAAGAACCTATTCTAAAATTAAACTTCTCTCAGACCAAATGATTTAAAAGGCAGCATCAACATACTGCTTTAAGCTGACAAAATGGCTTTTTTCATTTTTGGCGCCAATTTTCTAATTTGCTTATTAATCGAAATCCTGGTAAGTTACCCTACTTGTGTGAAAAAATCAAAATGAATCTGACTAGCTTTTGAATAAATTAGAATTCAAATTTTGGAAAACACCTTTTTTAAATGGTTACGCTGACAAAAAAACCTCTTTATCTTGAAACTGCTGTGAATTTAAAAAAGGCGTTTTGTCAGCTTATGGCAGCATACTACGTACGTGTACTTAGCTTAGTCACAGAGCCGTAATGTTATTCTCTATGTGATGTCGATTTTATGTATTTATGATTGATTTATGTGCTCTCCATTATGTGTTTATGATTGATTTATGTGTTGTCCATTATGTGTTTATGATTGATTTATGTGTTGTCCATTATGT